AATACAAAATAATAACGCTTATTTTCTTGATGAAAGAATCCTGTCAGTGCTCCTTTCCCAAACTCTTTCTTCTCCCTCTCACGGGACGCATTTCATGTTATGTGCACGTCATGCACAAATTTGAACTTTGGATTTAAACCCCTGCTTCGCTTGCATTTAAATTATGTAAATATCAAACCCAAGCCCTGTGAAATACAAAACAAGAGAGCATCTAGTCCTGGTTTAGGACAAAACAGGCTTGTCTTCTTCCTGTTACACATTTTGAATGGGCAAGTCTGGTATTTAAAGCCTTCTGCTGTTATATGTATTGCTACAGGGTGCTCCGCAACTTGTCTCATTCCTGCCTCTAATTTTCTCTTGTACAGCTTTCACTTCTTGATGTCATTAACACTCATTTGGTAAACTGATGTCAAGTTACTATTAAGAAAGAGCAAAAACTTCCTTTCCTGGTTTTTTTTTTTTTGCTAGAGATTTAACTATCAGAAGATGACTGGACACAGCAAGTAATGTACCTAAGGCACAGCTGTGAGAATAAAAATGTATCCCTGGCTAAGGGGAGAGATGTCAGGATATTTGTGTCAGCTGTTCCTTCTTGACACTACTGACTGGATAATCACTGGATTTTTTAGTCCATTAGCTCACAATTAATTGACAAATAGACAGGGTGGCTGGCAAACAGCAGTTGACACACTTGAAGGGACAAAACTCCAGGATAAAAGTCAGTCTGTGGTAATTTCTTTCAGGAGAAAACACTTTTTTTGGTCATTTTTATAAGGTAACATGAATATAAAAGCAGCAAATTCCAAGTTCAAAATGGAGTCTATGCCATGAAGGACAGAGAAACCCAGCTCCCTGCTGTGACCATGAACACAAGTTCCTCGTGCCATAAGAATTGCTTAAAACTGTGCCTACAAACTGCATCTTGGCAGGGTAGACAGGTAGGTCTGGTCTACATTTAAGATATGCTAAAATACTTATGGATATATGGGAATCATTTTTTTTCCATGCTTGCAAATGCCCTAGGAAAAAACTAGTTACACTGGCCAAAAAAAAGAGAGAGATGGAGAGAAACAGAAAAGCAGAAAGATCTTCTGGGGCAACCAACTTAAACTGGGTCCAAATGATGCTTCCAAGAGACTGCAAAAAAAAATGTAACCTGTCCTCTCTCTGAGTTTGTAAAGACAAAATTGCCAGTTTTAACTACAAAGCTGAAAGAAACTAGGCTCTTAAGAGGACACTCTAAAAGGTGATGCCTCCTTCCCAAATTCTAGCATAGGCAACAAAATCTTATGGGGGTAAAAAAATTCCAAAATTAAATATACCCTTAATTTAAGGTCAAAGAAATCAAGCCAATACAGAAATCAGCATGCAACAAGAACATGATTACAGTCAGCAAATCAAGTACAGGAAAAACGAACCACGAGGAAAATAACTGAGTACTAGGTGGGAACAGCAGCTCACAATATCCAAAGAAAGCCCCACAGACTACCCAAAGCCATAAGGGAGAACAAACCTCAGCTCTTGCTCACTTTGCTTGAATAAAGTACATAAAATCATCTGTTTTAATTCCTTGACACAAATGTAAGAGAGTGTAAGGAAAAAAGATTGCCATGCAAAATAGGGCACTTAGATTTAGAGCTTACTTTTTCTCAAAATACCAAGTGTTTTTCTTCAGTCCTTCCAAAAGTAGGTAATTTTCTTATTAATTTTCACCTTTGCACTGTTGAACATAATGGGACAAATAATACATGATGCACAAATAAGTTATAATTCTCCATGCAAGTTATTAGCAGTGAGATGCTGAATGTGTGATAAATCTAGACATGAAAGTGAAATATGCCTCCTAATTAAAAATCAATTATTAAAAACAGTAAAGAATGAAAAAGAAGAAAAGCTCACTCACCAAACTCATAATGAAATCCTGGAAACTTCAGAGTTATTTGAAAAGCAGAAAGAAACCTTCAACATCTATATTTAACTAAAGACTCCATTGTGGGTTTCTTGATTTTATGATTAAACAGTTCTGTGAAAAATTGTTTCTGGTATCTTTTGTGCTTTTATCTCTTCATTCCAAATGGTCATGAAAATGAACAGATGGCATTTAAATGGGGAATGCAAGAACAAGCCATCGCTCTGGCTCTGGGAAATCAAAGTACAGGGATGCCCTGATGTGGCTCCGAGGTGACACAGCGAAGATAAGCAGCCACCCAAAACCAGCAGCCCCTGAACTGGCATGCAAGTGCACAATGTTCACTCACAATGCCGCCCATTGGGTTTCTTAGCAGGTCTCTTCCAGAAAATGGTTTTAACACCCAGAGAAAGTAATTTGCAAACATTAGATCAGGATGTGCAAATAACTATTTCCAATTTATTTGAGTTTAGTTCTGAAAAGATTTCAAATATAGAACAGATCAAAAGCAGCTCAAAATCTCAACACCTGTTGCATAAGCTTGGACAAGCGGAAATTTCCAGTTTCCATTTTCTGTAAAACTAAGACACGTATTCATACCTCCAGCAGTGACAGAGAGATTAAATTAACGAGCACTACCGAGGAGATCTGAATCCCATTATTGGAGAAACTACACTGGTATTATGCATTATCATAAATATTCAGCATCTGCAATCAAAAGAAAGCTTTGGTGTTTACGTATATAATAAAGTTTTAATAATTCACTATCAATATTTCACGCAGAGTGCCACCGTCACTTTCTTCTGGATAAAAGAAAAAATACACCAAGAATTTAAAACCCACATTCCACTGGGAATTAAAAAATTCCTTCTACAGAGAAATGCCTATGGAGAGTACCAGGCTATTTTTCCAAAAGCCAGGGGCTCCAGGCTCCATTTGCCTGTGGCAGGTGGGTGACTGGCCAGGGCTGCCTCTATCTTGTGTACCCCTCAGCAGGCTCCAGCCTACAGACCCCACACACTTTTCCCTTCTCCAAAACACGCACCCCGTGGCACTTGTCCAAAATCTAGAGTCCTTTGGTAATGAAATTTTCAGGATTTCTTTTCAGAAAGCTTGGAAATCCCAAGTGAGCTGCTCTCAGGACATCAGCTGGCCTAGCCATGGGTGGTTGATGGCACCTCCACAAATGCAGCCCCTCAGCCATGAACAGTCACCCTCCAGAGCATAAAACTGTCAGATTTGGTATTTCACCTGCACCACAAGCAAGAGGGTGAATTGTTATCCTTCCAGCAGAGAACACAGGATGTGGAGCTGGGGTTCTGGCCACAGGGGCTGTGGCAGCCTGTGCCTGGAGGAACCCACTGCGTGCCCAAACCCAACCTCCCACAGCAGCTTCCCCACTGCCCTGAAGACACTGATTTTTAAAATGGCAGTAAAAGCCCCAAAGGATGTCAGGGCAGGAGGAGGGAGGGAGGAAAGAAGGGAGAAGAAGAGGAAAAGGAGCAGCAGCACCTTGGGTTGCCATCATCTCAGCCTGCCATGGGGGGAGAGAACATATTTTTAATTGCCACTTTTAACACATAAAATACAGGGAAAATCCCAACTTGACCCACAGCACAGGCTCATCCCTTCTGCTTCAGAGGGAGAGCCATATCATCAAGGGCCACACTGAGCAGACATCAACTTCTGAAGTACAGTCCAGCTGAATAAATAACACAGAAAGTTAATAGCCAAATCCTTTCAGCAGCAGCAGTGCTCTGGGAACCTGATTGGAATTTGAACATTTGCATTGATTTATATTTTTTTTTTTTCAATGTTACCAGCTGGGAGCAAGTCCTGGAGAGGAGCTACAGGAACAGCTCTGCAGAAACAGGAACAGCTAGCGAAGGATTACCTCCTAAAGGATTATCTTTTAAACAAAGAAAAATTTGGTATACTGCAAACAACTAACTCAAATCAAAAGGAACAGATTAATCCAACAGGATTAACAGGTAAGGCTGCCCTGTACTTTAATGTCCAGACACACAGCTGAGGAACGTGAATGCTTTTATTCAGATGATTTTATTTAGTTGTCAAGCACCTTTTCATAGACCAAAATAAGAGCTGCCTGTTCAGTTAAAACAAAAGCTTTGATGACTTATCCTGCAGCCTCACAAGCAACAGAGATCTCCTGTCTTTTTATAGAGCCCTTTCCTTTACCCTTACACGTGTAAGCTCTGGTCATACAGTTCTTTTAACTCCCACCAGGAAGATTAGTTGCTGCCTGTACTGCTCCTGCACTGTGAAATTTCCAGAACTGAGCTCTCTTACTTCCCTCTGGGTGGCAGGGGAAGTCACTGAAAACTGAGATCAAGCTCTTTATGGGCTCGTCTTTCCTGAATTGTTACCACTCATGTAGATTTTACAGCCACGGTATTACATTAATACCAAAAGTAAAACAGCATCAATCTACTAAAATAAAACAGCATCCATGTGTCTGGAAGGAATACAATGATATGCACTTGAGCATCCCTGCCTTACCAGTAGACACGTTAGTAGCATCTCTGACCTGCACCCAAGATTTGTATTGAAATCTACTTGACTATTCTGGCAAACAGAGTAAGGTAAGCATCAAGTTAAAACTATATTTTTTCTTAAAAAAATAAAATAAAAAAAAAAAAAAATTAAAAGTACCAAGATAAAGCTCCACTCATTTACTAAAATTACATTTTACTGCATTTTAATATTTCAGCATCTCTGTTAAAATTGTTTATTAATCATACATTTGAGATTCCTCTGGGGTAAATTATAAAGCCCAAATACTTAAAAACACAACACAAGGCAGTTCAGCAGTTCCTTTATGTTTTAGTCAGCCTCATGTAAGTGTCAGCCCCTACTCTGACCCAGAGGTGAAATCGAATTCAGCAGCAGTTGCAAACCTTACCTCTTGATGACAGGAAAGATTACCAGCTTTGGTGAATTTTTCCATCAAATAAATTTATATTTCCAACTTTTGAACTTATATTCTTTTATAACCAACTAACCTCTGCATTGGTCCAGCATAGATTTCATGTTTGTTTAAGAATGAATTAAGCATTAAGCAAAGACTCACCTCCTCCACCTCCAAGAAGGCTGGAATTAGCTGTAAGAAAAAGAGAAAGGGAATTGTTAGCATTAGGCTTCCTAAATATACATGGAACCAAAACAGAAAATGTCTCATAAGAGATTTTCATTGTTTCAGTAACATTGCTACTCTTCTCTTACCTGAAAACATTTAATGCAAAAATAATCACTTATTGTAAAATGCAATCACAATCTTTGCAGTATCTTTGAAAATGTAAGCTAATAAATAAAACAATACTTCAATTACTAAAGCTAATGCATTGAATAGGTTATAAAAGTGCAATCCTGCATTTATAACTCTATAAACCATATTCCTTTGTGATTACCAAATTAATTTAAAATTTTCATTGTAGAGAAACTTAAATAGACTTTGATGCAACTTCTGATTATCTCTCCTTGTTTTCTATGTCATGGGGCCTTTGGGGATGATGACGAGAAATCCTGGCTCCATTGATGTAAAAGGGTTTGTGCAATTGAGCTGGGATTTCCCTCTGCAGGCTTAATTGACTCAGCATTGTAACCATCCAGCTACCCAGGCCAGGACTTGATAAATCACTTATGGAAAGCAATTTTCAGAGCATGGTGATACAAGATGGTCCTTCAAATTAAGCTAGCACAATTGGAGTCATGCCAAATATTTTCCTTTCACTGCCTAGGCAGAAAGAGAAGGAATGCCTAAGCTTCTAAACCTGCCCTTTAGATGTGTGGGAAACAAATCCTTGTTGTATCAGAGTATATTTAAAACAAAGTAAGAGCATAAAGGAGAGACACAGGTATTTCTTATTGATTCCTGATGAATAAAGAACAGATACTTCAAACCATGCCCCGCTCCAGGACAAGGGTATATAGCAAGATACACAGAATAAATTAGGTATTTTCTATATCTTATTGTTCATATCATTTTCCTCTGCTTCTTCAATAGAAGTCTGTAAACAGCAAATTCCCTGCTGTTGGTTTTTTTTTTCATCACTTTCTTGAGACTTTTACATAAAATTAACAACTATCCTTGTTTTCTTCTATATGAGATATTCTACAAACACCTTTGATTAGTATCCATTTTCAATTCAAACATTTGCAGCCAGCTTTCCCTGACACTGCAGTAAAACTGCCCTTATCTGAAAGCCAGATTTTCCATCACAGCCAAGATCCATTCCAAAATACCCTACATTACTCAAGAAGTACTTCTACATTAGTCAAAAAGCAATGATCTTTAAAGACAAAAAAAAAAGCAGCTGTATATCCAGCATAGCTGACCACATCAAATCAAAGCAAACTAAGTTACTCATCCTAGGATTAGCTGTCCTACAGTCACTCAGGAGCCATCAAAACCAAGACCTAGACAGATGTTCTCATGCATTTTTCTCATCCAAGTCTGGTTTGATGACCCTGGAACATTAGATGAAGGAAAATGGGACAGAAAATCCTTTTTTTTCTGAAACAAAGTGATTTGGAGCAATTTCAAAGAAGTGCTTGTTTGAAGACACAAAAAGGTTGGAGCAACAGGCACAAATGGAAAACTTTACAAATAATGGAAAACTTTAAAAAACAACAACACAATTATCTATAAGTGATGAACATCTCTTGGCTATCCTCTCTAAAGTGCTAGCAGGGAACAAATACTGCCATGTATATATTGCCTTTGACAAAGATCTAATGATGGTAATAAAAAATGTGTGCAGACATGTTGCAAAGAACATCAATCTTGCTATATTCACCTATTCTTGCCCTGACTGAAATTTACTATTAAACAAAGAAACAAATAAAACCAGACTCGCGTATTTTTACAGCTGCTTCCCAAGACCTCCTGTAACAGGTAACATCACTTTCCCTGCAGTAAAAAGTAGTTATCTGCTATAGAAATCAGTAGAGCTCTTATCAGAAGAAACTAAAAGGAGCCAAGTGTCATCTACTGCCTGCTATTCCTCATTTTTTTAGCACTGTAGAATACACCTACAATTAAACTGTTCTAATCCTTACATGAGTCACGTCCTAGAATTTCAGTTATTATGTTTGAGAGACTTGAGACACACAGCTAAAATCTGTTACCAAAGTTTCCACTGCTAAAAAAGTTTCTTCGGATACCCAGCCAACATCCCCATTGCAAACTTTCATTCAATGGCTTCACAGAGAATTATGTTTCTCTCATTAAGTTTTCCTGACAATGTTCATCTTTCCAATGCTTTTCAAAATGTTCTTAATAACATATAATGTAAGTCAGCACCACACACTTCTCTATAGAAACAGTAAAAACAGTTAGAATGGATTTTTGGCTGCAATACATCTACTACAGCTATTGAAAATGCAATAATAATTCAAAGGCACTCTTTTTTTTAAAAATTTTGTTTGCATAATAGAAGGAAAATCAAACCATTTTCCTGTGATTCCAGGAAAGAACAAGACCGATTTATATTTACAGTTTCTTTTCTAGAAAGATAACGTGTCAAAAAGCAATAATTTTTATTTTCAGATTTTTCAGACTCTCCCTGAAAGGTTTAATAAAACACACATCTCTTTCTGTATTTGGGAAAGTCTTAGCACTACAGAAGTAACTTGTCACTTAGCACCTAATGAATCTTCTCCCACCCAGAGGTCAGCACAGCCCCATGGCTGCAATCACATCGTGTTATGTTGGAGTAAGCATGGCCTCTCCTCTCAGTCCCTCTGTGCTCATCTGCAGCTGCATTTTGTACATCAGTGCTCCCAAAACATCAAGTCTTGGAAAACACTTTGGAAGCTGTTCCTGCTGTAGAGCTTCAACTATGGGCAGCTCTATGAGCAGCCAGCAGAAGGTCTCAGGAAGCTTTCAACCTCCAGACCTGACAGAGTCGGAATTGCCCCGCAGGTTACACCGCTGCAGCTCCTCTCACTCAGGGCACGACCGGCCTTAGGTAGAACACCTTACACCACCTGCCCCAAGAAGCTGCCCATGTCCCATCCCTGGCAGTGCTCCCAGCTGGACTGGGTGGAACTCTGAGAAACCTGATCTAGTGGAAGGTGTCCCTGCCCATGGCAGGACAGCTGGAATGGGATCATCTTTAAGGGCCTTTCCAAGCCAAACCACTCTATGATTCTAAGATTTTATGATTGCACAGATTGTAAATCCATCTTGGCTAACCCCTTGTCCTTATTTCTCTTTTCCAGAGCTGCACAAGATTCTCAAGGTACAGGAGACTTGGGGTGGGAGGAAATAGGAAGACTGAATTGCTACCAAGTTACCAAGGCAAAGAAAAATAAGAGAGCAAACAAGAGTAAGAGGGGCTCCAAAGAAATTTGAGTAAAGGCTTCTTGCACCTCATTTCAGTCCCCTATCACCCTTTCAAAGTGATCTGCCCAACCTCTCTGAAACTACCTCCTTAAAAACTACAGTCCCCAATAGATACCTGGGCATTAACTCTGAAAATCTACTCACAATACAAACTTGAAACATTATTTTAATACAGAGTGGTCAGGAAGCCAGCAGACTACGGACTGCTGTGCCAGACTGAAATACAGCACACACTGATAGAGCCCCATCCTAAACACCATGGGTGACGGCCCTCAAGAGGCAGCAGAGGTGAGAGTTCATCTAATTTTAAGTATTTTTGCCTACACCAGTAACACAGACTTCAATTAAAAAAAAAAAAAAGAAAAAAAAAAAAAAGCACCATATCTGGGGACCAGTTCCTGTGGTTTCCTTTAAATACTGGTTTCACAATGACACAAATTACAGCTCTAGAGATGCTGTGCATCACCAATGCTTTAAAAGGAGACTTGAATGCTGCATTCTCAGAGACAGATCTCATCTTCACAGTCTGTCTCAGTACAGTGAACAGAAATACATCTAGAAGTGTTAAGATGGCTTTCAGCCCTTTAGCTCTAGGTTTCTTTTTAATAGGGACATTAGAACCATTAGCAGAAAAAGTGTTTCTATGAAGTTCAGCCTCATCTCTAAGAAAAAATCCCCTCTAAAAAAAATCACTCAACAAAAAAACAGTATCTAATCACTAAGGATAACGATTTAGCCCTTAATGAGATGTTTATAGCCCCAGATTCAACCAGAAATTCAGTATTTCAAATGACTTAAAAGCTCAATGGACTAGATATATATGCTTTTTAACAGCACCAGGGCAGCCCTACTAAAGAAACCTAGTGAACACTGGTCTGCTGTACCCTGAGAATTCAACTCTTGCTTTAAGAAACGAAATTCTTTCCAAAAAACTAGTGTGGGGAGAGAAGAGAAAAAAAAGAAAATAAAAGACCTGGAAGGAAAGAATTTAAAGTAAGCTTTGTTGCTCATTATGGAATACCCACAATGAAAGCTCAGGTTACTAAAATGTACAAATTTTAATAATGAATATACCAGCACATTTAAAAATAAGAACTGGATATCAATGTTTTAAATCTCAGCCTTTTAATGAGTTATGTTGTATCACTTTCCAACACTCTTTTGACTGAATGAGCAGACCAGAAACTCTGATGTTTTATGGTATTAATATTGTATTTAATGAATATTATGAATTAATATTTTAATCACTGTTCTCTTTACAAGAACATTCTTGCCAAACAGTAAGGTTATTTGAAATTTTGAGGAAAGCAACTGAATGCTGAAGAAGTTCACTTCAAACAAAACTGAGAATCTTCCTGCACTGCTAGCCAGAGCATACAGAAAGTGAAGGATGTATATATGTGTTGGTTAAACAGGCATTTGCAGGCACAGAATTATTTTTTCTGCTGTCAATTATGAGGAATTTTGAGAATAGGAAAGATGTGAATAGCGTTTTTGTGATGTCTCTGGAGATAACACACTTTTAGCTTTGTTAACAACATAGCTGAATAACTGGTTACTTTTTGTTGGCATATACTCATCTGACAACAATTTAAGAACATAAATTCTTCTGGGAGCATGTCTTTGTCAAGTATTAATGGCACTAGTAACTTAAATTGACATCTATGTCATGCAGCCATGCATCTGTCAGTATAATAAAAATATACTTTTAAAAGATTAGTTGATATTGTCTGACTTTGGCAGCAGATGTTTGA